CTCTCCCTCTCTCCTCTACGTAGGACGTATTACGTACCCATTTACGTGGTCGTGTAGCACAACAACTAAAGGAGCTTAGGTCTTAGGTCGGGCAGGATTGTGAACAGCGCAGAGAGATCATCAAGATGGCTATTAAAGTTCAAAGCCTCATGTAATGTGAAAACTTCCTTTAAATCGAGCCAAGCAATTCGCTAAGGGCCCCGTAGCAACGTGGGCAGCTCAAAGGTGGGTGAGCGGCGTTGCCAGATGAGTGCCTGCCGCCGCTCTGACGACAGCTGCCACCGATCGCTGACGACCAATCGTGGCACCAGGTCGCTGCGTGTGTAAGCGAAGTGTGGAGCGTGGCGTCGCGGACGCGTGCCGCCCGCGCCCCGGCTGGCAGGTGGGCCCAGATGGGCGGCGCGTCGTGAGCTGGCGGCGGCGTGATGACCGACTGAGCGCGGGCTGGCGGCGGTGATGAGCCGACTGAGCGCGGGGGCGGCGTGATGACCGACTGAGTGCTAGTCTCTGACTTCGCCCTGCAGCACACTCGACACCAGTGGTCGCACGGCATGATGTTGAGCGCGAAAGCTGCAGGACGTTAAATGCAATGAAAACATACGCGATTGTCTTCAGCTGACCTGTTACACCAGGGAAGAGAGGCCCACGCACACCAACGGAAGAGTAGCCACGCACACCAGGGAAGAGTAGCTGCGCACACCAGGGAAGGGTGGAACTGTAATCAGGGAAGGGTGGACACATACATCAGGGAAGGGTGGGAATGTACACCAGGGAAGAGTAGCCACGCACACCAGGGAAGGGTGGACATGTACACCACGAAAAGGTGGGCATGTGCATCAGGGAAGGGTGGACATGTTCGCCAGGAAAGGGTGGTCACGTACGTCAGGGAGGGTGGACATGTACACGACGAAAGGTGGAAACTGTGCATCAGGGAAGGGTGGAGATGTACACCAGTGGAAGGGTGGACATACACCAGGGAAGGGTGGACATGTACACCAGGGAAAGGTGGACATGTGACCAGGGAAAGGTGGACATGTACATCAGGGAAGAGTGAAGATGTGCACCAGGAAAAGGCGGACAGTACGACGAATGCCAGCCCGGTGTTGTCAAAATGCCTTTGACAGCCGCTCTCAAGAAGCGCAAAAACAAACGTGTAGCGTACTCGGAGAGAAATTTCCTTGAACATGCATGCATGGCCGACCTCAGTTTGCATGGCCGATGCCTGAGCTCCACGGAAATGCATCGAAAATTACCGATTAAAGATCGATCAACTCCACAAATCCGCGGAAATTTTGTTTCTTCTGCTTTTAAAATCACCACGGTGACATTGAGACTCACTGACCCCAGCAAGGTACGCCACATCCCGGTTAGTATTTGTACAGGTATGCAAATGTGTACGCCAACACCTATGCATTTCTTTCTCTATAAAGGTACACATGTAACGAGTACCTTCACTAATACCAAAATATTTCGTCCGCAAATCGCAGCGAATAAGAGGCCGAAGTCTGGGCACTTAACGCGGTGTATTGGTGAGCCGACAACAGACATCGGCGAGCATCCACGATGCCGCTTACTCAGTTCTCTGACGCACAGCACGCTATGCTGCGATGCCTGCGGCGAGGGCGGTTCAAAACGCTCCCCTCCGTGCCTGTATATACGACCAGTGGAAGGCACGGAGCACAATGCTGCTAACTGGCCAGTGACGCACCAAAGCTCGCCAACTATCGGGGGGAAGACAGGTCTCGACACACCCGATACGGGTCACACTGGAAGACCCGGGTTACCATGCGCCACGTCCATAAACAACACGGCGATGTCTGCGGGAGCACCCGCGACGTCAGCACAAGCACCATCGTGTTCCCTTACACCCACCCACGTGACGTCCGATAATCATAATGTGGCCGGAAGACGCACACACACGCCATTTCGTGTGGAGACATTAATGTCACATGCAAGATATCCACTATGTCAAATGTAAACACCCCGCATGTCGTGGCCTGACACCGCCAGCTCACTTGGGGGTGACATACCCCTAACGAGCAAACCCCTTCAGATCTAGAATGCCGACCAGTTATTGGTCAGCGGAAGGCACCTTCGAGAGCGACTCGGTCTCACAACACCAGCAGGTTCAGGGTTCACAACGCCGGCGGGTCAGGGTCACAGCGCCGGCGGGTCGGGGTCACAACGCTGGAGGGTTGGAGTCACAGCGCCGGCGGGCCGGGGTCACAACGCCGGAGGGTTGGGGGTCACGGCGCCGGCGGGCCGGGGTCACAACGTCGGAGGGTTGGGGTCACGGCGCCGGCGTAAAGCTTCACAGCCGTCACGCGACGACTCAGCATCACAACAAAAGGCCGGAATACACACGCTAAGCTGATCCAAAAGCAATTTCTGACCGCGTACCGAGCAAGTCTCACAACACTCCCGGGCCTACCAACCAAGTCTGGTCACCAAGAGCTCACTGCTGACAGGCGTTAAGGAAAGATATCACGCATATAATAACCTATAGCGTACGCTCCTACTGCAGACGGCTGACGCCCGTTGACGCGC